CCTATTATCAAACATCTAGCAGTTGTATATTTAAAAGTACGAAATTTAAACTAAATTATTACAAGGCGTCGGGTATTTACATCGCTAAAAACAACCCTTTGGAATTTAAAAGCGATAAAAATAAATAAATGTCCTAATTAAAATATTACAAACCGGGAGCAGATACAATAATTGAATAAAGAAAACTAAGCGCGCGATGCGAAATTAAATCGAATGCGAAATTAGGGTTTTGACCCACTTAAAAGAAAATGTTTTTATTGGTTTTTTATTTATTTTTTAAGAAAAGAAATTAAGTCCTAAAAATTAAATGCTAAATTAATTATTAAATTAATTAATTAATGAAAAATATTAAATGACATATTTTTGGAGTTTTTTTGTTATTTTAGGAAAGAAAAAATAATTAAATTAATGTTGAAACCTAATTATTCTAATTGATTTTTTATTATTTACAAAATAAATTAAAAATACCTAATTAAATTAAATTATTTATTGATGAAAAATAAATTTATGAAATTTAATTGGGTAAAAAAATATTTTTTGGTGATTTTTGATAAAAAAAAGAAAATTAATTTTGGTTAGTAAATTAAATTAAAATAATTAAATGAAATAAACAAAATATAAAAAAGGAGTGAGATGAGCCTGATTTTTGAGGGTGTGCATAACAATTATTTTGGCCCATTTGTGAGGTCCATTTGACTTTTTTCAATCCAGCGTGCGTGCATTGACTGACCCTTTGATGCACCTTCAATGATGGCCACCAGATCTGGCCATCTGGCGTGTTGGATGGTGAATGTCCATGATGGGTCTCCTGGCCATGCTTGTACTGAATTACCAGAAAACAAATATTATAGATAAAATAGGGGGACCTGAGATTCGAACCCAGGTCCTGAGGGGAATTCCATGCCACGCTTGCCACTGGATCACGTGTTGCTGCTTGTTATAATATTAAAAGGAAATAATAAAATACAAAAACAAGCATTAGTGGACAAAAACCAGAAAAACGCGCCAAGGTTTGAATGGACGAATGGAGGAGTCACACGCCTGCTTCTTCTTCCTCTCTCCATGGCTAAAACCAAAAGCACCTATACCCACGGACAAAGGTTCGTCATTATAACCCTGTCCACTCTCAAAATCTCGTACAGGCCATGTAATGAATTCTAACACCATGGTTAAACTCGTCTCTTTCTTCTGATCATAACCATACCCATTACTAGGGCCAATTATTCCTTAAAACAAAAACCCTAAAAAACTCCAAGAAAACCTAACAATGGTGATTCACGATATGGGTCATATAAATGAAATTGGCTATTGTAAAAAGCTTGCAAATAATATGGTGATCAAGAATATGCCATTATTTTACACAATGGATGCAAGAATAAAGCTTTTCGAATTCAAGAAAAGGATGATAACGTGACGGCCTTACAGTGCACTGGAGGGCTTGAAAACGTGTGGTTTTGCTTGCTTTAGGTTCCTGAGATTGCCAGGAAGAGATTGAGACAAGTACCAAGCCTTGAGGATGCCTCTAACCTCTGTTTCGATCTCACACTTTTTGCCTCTTTTTTGCAAATTCTGTTCTTGCTCTATGCTTGATCTCCAACCTTGATTTTGATTTGCCTCGCCTCCTTATGTATTGCACAATGCATTAGGATTGTTTATTCAGTCCAAATCCCTCTCCATCAATGATTTTGATATGGATTTGATTTGCTTTGAACAACTTTCCAAACATGGCTTATTTCCAATATTTTTGTACCCATAAGCTTTGATGCGAATTTGAATGCCTTGCTAGTTGTTTATTAGAGCCTGAAACAATCACAAGATTCTTTGTTATCAATATTTTGGATTTTATTTGATTTGATTTGATTTAAATTCAATTAATTCATATAAAAAATCAAAATAAATAATAAAAATAAGATATGTACAGGTGGCAAAAGATAGAGCACGTGGACTATGATGCCAACTCAAAACAAGTGAAAAAGAATGGGCCCATTTGGCAAAATTTGAAGTTTTGGGCATAGTTGACTTTTGGCAATTTTGCAAAAAAGTCCAACTTCAACAATGCATAACTTCCTCAATTTCGACTCTTTGGAGGTGTTCTTGGACTTTTTAGAAAGCTTGAGATGTCCTCTAAGCAACCCTTTTGGTATCATATAATTTTCATATTCCATGCTCAAGTATGAAGCTTTGACAAAAAAGGTGTTTTTGTTGACTTTTCAAAATGACCTATAATGTCCAAATTCATAACTTCTTGTGAGTGCATATTTTGAACTTGGGAGATGAAGATGGATTGTAGGGAATTGCATCCTCTTAAAAATGATATTTGGATGGTTCATTTAGCATAAAGTAGGAGAAAGTTATGCTTGGTCAAAGTTGGGTTGACTTTTCCTGCAAAACCCTAATTTAGCAACTTTTGAGTCTTGATGAATTATGAGCAATCCTTGATGAATCATGATCAACCCTTGATCAAATGATGAAATATACTTCAAAATTAGGATGTTGACCAAAAATCTTGAAGTTTGACTGTATGTGGGTCACAATTGACTTTTGCCCCAGCACAGTCGATTTTTGGACTTTTGAGCAATTGACTGAGCAAAATTCCTCTGCAAGGCTTGAAAATTGACATGGATGATCTTGAGAACATATTAGGAAATTGATGAGCATTTGGGACCACTTGGACTCAGGGATCTTGATGCAACACAAAACCCTAATTTGGCGTAGACTGCCTTAGGAGAGAGCTTGTATGGCCAACCCTTGAGCTACTTTGAGTAATTTGGAGATTTTTCTTGCAATATTTTGAGAAATATGGGAGGGAAAATTTTGGGGTACAACACAACCAAATGCAGGTTGTTCCTGGTCACTATGAGAAAAGGTGCCATGGCTTGGTACAAAAGCATGCCCCTTGAATCTATCACTTCCTGGAAACAACTGGGAAAGGTATTTTCAAGGCACTTCACCACCTCCCGTCGGCATCAAAAATCAGATACTTCACTTGAAACGTTTATCCAGGGCAGAGACGAATCTCTACATGCGTATATCGAGCACTTCAACAAAGAAGTCATACAGGTCTCAACGACCTATGCAATGAAGAAGTACCTTCTTGAAAGAGGGCTCCGTCCCCGCAGCGACTTCGCGAAGGTTGTGGGCATCGAAACTCCAGCCATGCTCGACTCCCTCCTCCTCAAGGATCAAGCTTACATTCAGTATGAGGAGAAAGAAATGTCCAACAATGCCAGGGATTCAAGGCACCGAGAGAGTGCCAAAACCTACAGAAGCGACGAGCCCTCGACATCCCTTCGGGCGAGAGAGAGAAAGTGGGAAGACAAATCCCAAGACTCCAAAGATTACAAGGGCTCTACTGGTTGGTTCCACAACTACACCCCTCTGACCATTTCAAGAGAACGTATTATGTCTGATTGCGCCAAGTCTGAATTTAAGCAGGTTGGGGTACGCTTTCCTCGCCAGACACCCTCCAAGCCCGAAATCGACAAAAGTAAGTATTATAGGTTACAAAAAATCCATAGTCACAATACTGACGATTGCATCCATCTCAAGGATGAAATCGAGATACTAATTTGAGATAGGCACCTCAAGCAGTACAAGAAGAAAGAGGGTGCCTACAAGGAGGCTTTAGAAACCAAGAGCGTCGAAGAAGGGAAAGAGTCCTCTGACATCAACACAATACCGGTCACCATGAGTATCTCGTGACCATAAGATTTATACTTCCCATACATGAAGAAATTCTCATTATACTTCTCCTCTCACAGTCCCTAGGAGTCATTCCCCGCCGCGATAGTCATCTCTGGCGGGGGATTAACAAGCATACAGTGGGATCCATAAAAAAATATTCGAGTAACTTATCAAAGCGAACGCTGATATGGATGCCACACTGGATAAGTTATGGGGAGGCTCTCATCCCCTCGCTTTCTACATGGAGGAACTATCGAGCGGAGCCCACAACTCGACTATCCCACTGCTCGTACGGGCTCACATGACAAACTTTGATGTTCGGCGCATACTGGTCGATCAAGGGAGCTCGGTGGACATCATGTACACCCAATTGTTCCCTACCCTACAACTGAATGAAAGCCACCTAACCCCATACGTGGGCTCAAACCTCTAGGGCTTCAACAGGGCCAGTACCAAACCTTAGGGGTATGTCGAGTTAATTGTCACCTTCGGAAGAGGGGTGACCGCCAGAGCCATCAAGACTCAGTTTCTGGTAGTAGATTGTCTGTCTCTCTATCAATGTATCTTCGGGAGGCCCATTTTGGCTAAACTGATTGCGATTCCCTCCACCGTACACCTCAAAATGAAATACTACACTGTAGAAGGTTTGGTCTCCACCCTCCACGGGGACGTCTAAGCGGCAAGATAATGTTTTGAAGCCTCGGCCAGGGACCTGAGTTCCATAAACATTCAACCCCGAACGAACACTAGGGCCACCCTGCCCTACAGATCTGAGGAGGCCAAGCCATTACCAAGGGTCGACACCATCAACCTCGATAGCCGCTTCTCCAAGGAGGATCACACAGAGCAGAGGAAGAAAGGGAAAAAGCCCATGGTTGAAGGCGAAGGTTCATCCCTAGCTGCAAATAGCGAGGAACTCTCAGATCCTGTACGACCCATTCTAAACGGAGACTTTGATATCATCCCCCTCGGGAACGATCCCACCAGAGGAGTAGAGATCAGAGTTAACCTCCCCGACTTGGAGAAGAGGAAACTTAAATCTTACTTGAGGGAGAATGTTGATCTGTTTGCCTGAAGCGCATGTGAGATGCCCGAATTGGACCAAGATATTGTATGCCAATCACCTGAGCATAGACCCTATTGTTGTACCCCAATTTTTTCTCCTAAGATCCCTCATCATACTTTGTACATTTCACACATAGCATTAGTCTCATGGTTATAAGATCGAAGCGCTCTGGCATTAGGGCTTCTCTCTATGAATTGAGTTTGCTATCTTACTCAAAATTGATTCAACTGGAGCTCTCATTTTTCTTGGTATGAGATTAGGGTTTTGTATCTCAAGCAGCATAGATGTCTCTGCTATCAGATTTCCTCAAGATACAAATTTTTCTTCATCAGAGTTCTTTCAAAGAATAAAGGCATTAAGGCCTAACTCAGCCAGAGAATCAAGATTTCTCTTCATTTTGTTTAAGCTTGGTAATGATTCTTCTATGGAGGTTTATTGAGTTAAAGTCTCACTTTAAGGCTACATTGAGCACTACTCTCCCCTTACTGAAAGATTGCTTTGAGTCTTATCAAGTTTAGATATGTTTCGTTGGGTAAGCTATGGGTCAGGAGCTTATTTAGCTCATTTTATCAAATGAAAGATGGTTGTTTCAAATGCAAGATGACTAGAATTTATGGATTCAATTGAGATTAAGGTTCATTGACCAAGCACACCATTTGAAGTCAACTGAGTTTCGACTTGTCATGAATGCTTGAGTTGCATTAAGGATCGATTTAAGATGAACATGGAATAGAAGTTTTTAATGTGATTCAAGGATAAGTCATTTAACTTGCTTGAAGGACAAGATATATGCGAGAGATGTTACAGGACTTGTGGATAATTTTCCAAGTTTTCTTGTACTCATAATATAAGTGATTCGTCAATTGGCTTTGCTTAGAATTTGGATTATGTTTGAGATATAAAAAAGAAGATTTTGACCTTGAGGTTAAAGAAGGCATCGCGATTCATTCAAGATACATTTTGAGAAGATGTAAGCATAAGAGAATAAATTCAAAGACAAGTGAATTAATTCAAAGTCTCTTTTCTTTATTCAACCATGGCTATTACAAAATCAAGAACTAGAACATTTACACTTTCAACAATTCAAAATTACATAAAAGTGCCAATTTCAATCCAACTTATGAATATATTACATCAAAGTCCATGAACCAAGATTCAATTATATCCAAAAACCAGCCATATCACCTGTGTCACATTTAAAAGAAAACTATAAAAATGTTGCAAGTTAAGGAATGTCCTAATTCTATGAGCTTCGTGTCAAACTCCATGCCTCCAAATTCAATGCATCTTGCTATACTATGCTAAGTTTCAGCTTTGCACCATGGACCATTGGATCAAACCGTACAAACTGTGATATAGCCCTGCATTAGAAAATTAGAAGATATAAAAAGAAAGAAGAAGAGGGAAAAGAAACCAAGTGACTTAAATAGTGTAGATTCTAGTGAGCAAAATATCAATGAGCCAAATGATGCTGAATTAAGTAGTTCCAATGGGTTAGATAAACTTCTTTCTAAAGAAGTCTTGTTACGTCTTAAAGAATCTGGATTTGGTCTTCATATGAAGTCAGTGGATGAGCTTATCAACCAGGCACACAAGTTTTATGATGAAGTTGCCTTGCCAAAGATGGTTACAGATTTTGCATCACTTGAACTTTCTTCGGTGGATGGTCGTACTTTAAATGACTTCATGCATTTAAGGGGACTTGATATGGGATCTTTGGGTGAAGTGGTTAAACTTTCATAGAATCTTCCACATATACAATCCCTTTGTATTCACGAGATGATAACTCGAGCATTCAAGCATCTACTTAAAGCAGTTATTGCTTATGTCGACAATTTACAGATTTACCATCAGTCATTGCATCAACACTGAATTCCTTACTTGGCGGGTTCAAACTTCCACAAGGCAATATCAATATTAATACTTCTTCCACACTTCAGCCCTGTCATATTCAAAAACACAAAAAAAAACAGTTTAACAGTCTGCATAAAAGTGCCAACAGTTTCCAACTTGCAGTCGGTTGGTTAACCGAGTTGTAACAGAAATTTGCCAGCTCATCACATCAGTTATAACAGAAAATAACAGAATTGCAGCATTTTCAAAACTTCTAACCTCCTCAATCTAGACCCTTCAATGATATAACAGGTTTTATTAATCCAAGGGCTGAAATCTGATTCCAGCTAACTAACTTTTCTAGATCTAACAGAAAGAGAAAAAAGAGAAACTAACCTCAATTAGGGACTCTCGATTTTTTTCTGGGGAGAATCACAAAAATCTTCAACAACCTCTCTCTTCTCCTGTCATCTTCATCTTCATCATCCTTCAACTTCCAGAAGGATCACCAAAAATATCTTGAAAAGTCTCTCAATCTCCATCACCAAACTTCTTCACTCCCCCGCTGAATTCCATCTTCATCTTCCTCACTTCAATTCACTTAAATCTTCACCTTTATCTTCATCTTCTGCAATTAATGAAACCTCTAGAACCATGAATCTCAACCTTCAACAATCACCAAGAAACTTCAAAAATACAATCTGCAACATCGCCAATCTCCAGCATCATCTTCATGTTCTCTACATAGCACCCTACTCCAACCATTAACGAAAACGCATGCAACAATAATCGTAGCACAGATCGAAGGAGAATAAGAAGAAAGTATAAGAATCGGAAGAGGAAAGAGTGAGAATCAAATAAAATTAAGACGAAGAGGAAGAAGCTCACCTGAGTTCCTTGATTTTTCTCGTCATCGATTTCACTGTTGTAAATCAGCCGGAGCATCTCTGGTCGGTAAGACTCGATATTCCTTTGTTCTTCGCTCGTTACTTCAACTTGTTGATTGCATCATGATGGATAAACGAAGGAGTTTACACGGAGGTGAGAAGAATCATGGTGGAGATCAAACATCCACGGTGCTACAATCTGCGATGTTGCAGAGATGAGTGAAACGGCGGTGAGACAGCGGTGAGACAACGGTGAGCAACGGAGCTGGGTTTGTTGATCAGAGAAGAAGGTTTGAGGAGTTGAGATCGCTTTGTTTACGAACAAGAGATCCTGGGTTGTGTCATCTGAAACGACACAATTGTGACCCTATCCAAGATTAAAACGCACCATTTTTGCTTCTTCTCGTTAGATTTTGTTCTACTATAAGTTGATAAAAGGATTAAAAATCTGAATATGGATTTGAATTGGGAATGGCTGGACTGGAAGATGAGAGGCCATGCGCTGGATTTTTCAAAGCCCATTACTTTTTTTATGCACATGTAGCATTGCAACAAAAATAGTTGTTGGATCCTCTTTGTTGGGCTTATTGCCATTCTGATCCATACATATGAATCCATATTCGCACCCCCTCTGTTTCTACCATACTCTTATCTTCCCATGTTTTATTAGTTTTAGCTTCATTTTTTCCATGATTTTAATGATTAAAATGATACAAAGAAAGTGATAGAACATTTTAGAAACCTTTAAGATCTCCCTTTAGATTTTTCATTAGAATTTTCTATTATTTTCATGTTTGATAATTGTTTTCATTGTCATTTCTAGCTAAGATTTTGCGATAGAATGTTTATGCAACTTTGGCAATGTGCCCTTGCACTCGATCGAGACGTGCAGAGCATCATTATGATTCCTTCCTTTAGCAGTCAGATCTGCATCTAAGAAACCCAACCCATTGTCGGCAATCAGGCTAGCTACGCAATCTTTGAATTGATCGGCTGAAGTTTCCTGCGGCACATGCGCAGTCTTGAGGAATGCAATTAGAGCCTTTGCATGGGCTTCAGAACACAACAACAAGGACAACATGGAGATTTTTGATGGGGTCTTCCCCAGCTGCTCGACTACGTTGTAGTCACTCTTCTTGATAATCTTCAGTATTTCCTCTATCTCCTACTTAGAGGTTTCTACAATGATCTTCTTAGGTGCCTCCGTCCGGGCAGGCTTACCTGTGATTCCTTTGCCCCGAGTCTCAGATGGATCAGCGACAGGGGTGATGACTGGAATATGAACTGGGATAGTAGTTGATATACTAGCAGAAGGAATGACAACAGGTTTGTGAACAGTCGAAGGGGAAATCTCGGGAGAAAAGAGTCTTCTGCTTTTGGTGACCTTGTTAGCCCCGGCAATATTGCTGACATCAACATAAGCTTCCTCACTTTTTAAGTCTTGTTTAACTCCATGGTAATACACATCAGCACCATAGTGCCAAGGGATAACCTTATCCGAAGTGTATGGGATAAGACCAGGGACAGTAATTATTAACGGAGCAATTCTTGGGATGGGTGTAATCCTAACAGGTTTTCTCGAGAAAACCTTGGAAGGATTGGCGGAAATGGTTATGATGGCAACATCTTGAATTGGAACCAACGGAATCATAGCCTTTTCTAACAGGATCTCTTTATTATCCTTCAGGCACTGAACACCTGATTTCAATAAGTGGCAACCAGCAGGCAAAATTGAACACATGTGGAAACCTTCACCACAACCCGAAAATAAATCGGCCAACAATAAATTCTTCTTAACTGTCATCAAAGGAGTAGAAATTTCTTCCACAAAGATCACAAATAAATCATCGCCTACAACATTTACTCAATGACCATGTTTGGGCATGGGAGCAGTTATGACGTTGGGCTTCTCTGGAGCGTCTAACTCAATCTCTTTGGCTTCGATCAAGCCTTGCACCTTATTTTTCAAGGCCCAACAATTGTTTGTATCATGACCTGGACTTTCGGAGTGATAGGCACAGCGGGAATTTGGGTTATAATGAGGAGAAGTGGTGTTGGGGTTCTTCGGGGCTTCCCTCAAAGTTACCAGATTGGTCTTCAATAATTGTGGTAGGATTTGAGACAAGGTCATATTGAGCCGAGCGAACTTCCATGTGGTCTTTCCCCCCTTTGTTGATTGTTGCATTGTGGAGCAACTGTGGGTCTTGATATCACTACCGCATTTACTGCTTGACGGTGTTCAGGTATGCTTTGGCCCCTCGAGCCATAGACTGCACTAGCTTCCTTCTTTTTGGTGAAATGCTTCTTTACTGCACTTGATGAAGTATCCTTCTGTATTTTACCACATCGAATACCAGCTTCTACTCTCTCTTCAGTCAAAATCAACTCAGTAAACCCAGAGGACGAACTGTCGATCAGATGATTGAGAAATAGACCAGATAGCGTCCCTAGAAACATGTCAACCAACTCCCTATCAAACAAAGGTGGTTGGACTCTTCCAGCCAAGTCTCTCCACTTTTTAGCATAGTCCTTAAAACCTTCACTTGCACCCATAGACATACCCTGAAGCTGAGTACGAGTGAGAGCAAGGTCGGCGTTATACTGATATTGCTTGTAGAAAGCAGCAGCAAGATCTTCTCAGTTTCAGACACTAGCTCCTTCCAATTGATAAAACCATTCAAGCTGAGTCCCTGACAGACTATCTTGAAATAAGTGTACCCACAAATTTCTATCAGCAGTGTGGGGTTGGATTTTTCTGACATACGAGCGGAGATGGAGTTTTGGACAGAATACTCCATCGTACTTGGCAAAAACCGGAGCTTTGAACTTATAAGGGATCACCACTCCCGATGCCAATCCCAGCTCTCCAAAATCTAAACCAGGGATCTTTTGAATCTCCATAGCACTCAGACGGTCTTCTAGCTGCTTGTATCTATCCTCAGCAGGAGGATATTGTTCATCATCGTAATCCGTATCGTTATCAAAAACTGCTGGACTAGGGTCCTTTGTCCTTTCTTGGTTCTCTCCGTCCTTGGATGAGGAGGTCAGATCAATTGATTGTCTTATCCTTTCTCTGAATCTTCTACCCATGTTCAGAATGCCAACCTTCTTTTTCTTCTTCTTCTTCTCTTTCAGAATCAGGGTCTTCAAATCCTCTTGCCCTTTAGCCAAGCTTAAGAACATCTGTTGGAATTGGGCGTTTTGTGCCTGAAGATATTTGATGGCTTGATCGAAATACATAACTGCTGAAATAAACAGCGAAGAAGATGAGAAACCTGTAAGGGTACCTGTAAGGATGTGCATGATAATGGGATGCGCATGCAATGATTTCAAAGACTTTGGGAGATTTAAATTTGTAAACCAAAAAATAAACAAAACTTTATTAGATTAACTTGTAAAAGGTTCAACAATGCCTTTAAGGTGTTACAAAGAAATAAATGGAAAACAAATCTAAAAATAGAAAGGCAAAATCAAAAGTCCCATGGACGCTTCCTCTTTGTGTTGACGTAATCATTGATCACTCTTTCTTCCTCGAGTTGCCTGGTGAGCTTCAAAATCATCCTTTCTTGCTCGTGGTACTTTTCCCGGTAAGTATCCCTCTCCTCTTTCAGTTGAATCCAAGACCTCTACAACTCCCCAGGATCAGTGGGCATGTAAGGATAAAGGACAGTGTAAGGAATGCCATCTTCATTGGTGGGCTCCACAATCACTGGTAATACGGCTTCATAGGGCATCCCAAGCTTCTGGGCACGAGCTCGGACCCACTGGAGATAAGGCTGCATAGGGAGGGAAGTACTTGGTCCCAGCTCTTGGGGGTCAGATCTGTTCACCATGCCCCGAGCTCGTATAAACCTCCGGCGGTGCTCCTTAACGTCTTCCTTGTAGTCAAATGCAATATCCTCAAGAAGTAGCTCGTGGGGACCATCCCTCCGAGCACGACCAAATTGTCGCAAAGCTAGACAAAGATTGTAGGTTATACCCCCTCTTATTTCAAGCCATGGGACATTAGGGTATCCTCCACAACGATCAATAACTGCAGTGTTTTCCATAGCCCGGGAGCTCCAAAGAATATATGTATGGGCAAGTGACATTACCCTGTAGGACCAACCCGAACCTTCTTCGTTCTTCAACACAGACTTGGGGAGGTGCAAAGTAAACCACCTCGACAGCAACGACATGCAACACATAAGAGTTCCTCTTCTTCTCACAGTACGAGTGTAGAGGGCATGCAAGATATCACCTAGTAAAGTAGGCACAGGATTGCGAGAAAGGAAAATCTTGACCGCATTCACATCCACAAAGGAATCCAGATTCAGGAAGAGAACCAAACCATAAATAAGGAGAGCCAAGATATCTTCGAAAGCCTTAAAGTCTAAATTATCCCAGAATAGTTGAGCCTGGTCTATCAGAAATTTGGCTAAGAAACCTTCGACCCCACTTTGTGTTTCCCAATTGGATACTACATCAGCCCGTTTCAGATGCAGAGCTGAGGCAATGTCTTCTGGTCTAGGAACCTCTTCCATACCTGTGAAGGGTACTTATTCAAGGATGGATATGCCCAATAAGTGAGATAACTCTTCCAAAGTGGGAACTAGCTGGTAATCTGGAAAGGTGAAACAATGATGCACAGGATCGAAGAACTGGAAAAGTACACTCATCATTTGCTCATCAAGCTTTGAGGTGACCAGGCTAAGAAGTTGACCATGTCTATTAATGAACATAGAAGTCTCAGAAACTCTTGAGGCTAACTCTTTAAGTTGAGCAGGTATTTGCACAAAGTTAACTCGGATGGTATTTCTGCGTACGGAGGCCATAATCTACAAAACAGAACAAAGATGAATTCCCTTGGTCTTTGAAATGGTTAGTACAATGAAGTATGAATGCCATGTTATGATGCATGATGTCATGATAAAACAACAGGTATAGCAGATAACAGGCATGGCAAAGGCAAACAAGTCACACAAAGCCCTTAAGTTCAAGGCTTGCATGAGGTCAAAGGTAGTACCCTCTTGAAGTTCAGTTGGTTTTAACTTGTCCTGGAAAAAGTAACCGGGTTCTAGAGGATCTCAATATCACTGACCATCCTCCATCGGTCATGGTTTCAGCTACGCAATCTTTTCTTGTGGCCGAAACTATCTCGAAAGTATGGTCTCAATGAGTGTAGCATCGAGTATCAACTAGTTCTCAGCTTTACACTGAGGCCGACTATCTCACTACTTTCTAATGGCCAAGTTGGTCGATTAAAGGTTCTAAGGTCAGTTGATGCTTAACGACACCATGCAGCGGCCCCATATTCTCCTCGTTTCTCCATAAGGGATACCGGTATCAACCAATGTGCCACATCAACGTAGCTACTGCTTCAACCGTATCGGTCTATGTCGTACAGTTCCCTCACAGTTTATTGCTACTTACCTAAAAGGTGTCCCCAGATCCGGGTTAGGATCTATAGTAACTCCCAAACAAAACCCTTTAAAAGTAAAGTAACCAAAACAAACAAGAGAAGCAAATATGATAAACTAGATCCTAAGGTATACCCCACTTATTTGTCCCCATCAGAGTCCCCAGTTCTGTGATGCGGTGGCAGAACCGATTGTTTTTGAAATGCTGGTTTGTGTTTT